CTAGTTAGTTGCCTTTATTTAAGTTTATCATAACAGGAACTGTATTTGTTTAAATCAATTCATTAGTATGTAAGTAATTTAAATTAGTTATATCTTTATGAATAATAGATAAAAACACAAATGTCAGCAGAGTATACTTAATGCTAGCAGGTATTTGATTTTATTGCTATCTTTAAGTCTATATTGTAATGGAAATAATGTCATTGTGCGAGGGAAAAGATGCCCATTTTCGTTGTTTATGAAAATTTGCATCTTTTAGCATATTTTTAAGAATTATTTAATAAAATCCAGTTAAATTTTTAAAAATACCTTGTAAAGTGCAACAGTCGAACTGTGATAAATTGATATGGAACTAATAAAAAAATACTGTATTTATCAGCTTATGATTTGCCCTCATCCCAAAAAAAAGTTAAAACTATATTTATTTGTTTTATTTGGAACTGTGTTATATAATCTGCCTGCACGTATAAGGGAAAGGGATCGTCACCGTATCAACTCAAGACATTCAGTATTCTTTGTATGAAACCCTTTTTATTTATTACGCAGGCAAAACCTCTATTTACAGACGTTGGCGCCCCTAAGGGGCACACCAACGAACAGTCCTCACACCTAGCCTCTCGCAAGTCTCACGGGTGCGAAACGGAGAAGCTGTTAAGCAGTCCGCGCGGCTTACGAGCGCTTACGGCATACTATCAGCTAAAAAACCCTCTACGCTGTTAAATGCGGAACCGCGAGATCTCCGTTGAGGGAACAGCCTCCTGGCTTAGCTGGGGCTCCACGGCAGGGATCACCCGGGGTATTTCGGGAGATCCCGCAGACGTGCGCAGGGCTGCCCGTGCTAGGGGCTAAGTACGCAGCCACCGCACCGCTCCCCATCCGCTGCGGAAGTTGTATGAAACCGTACTCCAACGCACACTTAGAAAGATATGAAAGAAAGTAGGGAGTTTCATGCAAAGAATAATGAACGGCTCGAGTTGATACGGCAACGATCCCTTTTCGAGTTGATATGTCTGCTACGACCTTTAACCGCCAAAAGAAACTTGCGTGTGAAGCGGGGACTGGATGCGTAAGGACAGGAGCATGAAAGATAAAGATGTAAAACCGAGATGAGAGCGTTACTTAGAATGTAATACTCGCAAACTGGCAGAATACTTATTCTAACGCAGTTTGAGAGTGTCGACTACAAAAAGGAGTTGAACGGTGTTAAATTAACAGAGGTTGGTTAGTAGCTATGCTCACTTCATCCAGACTACGAAAAGAATACCAAACGCGACAATGATAATACCTAACGTGAAAGCGAAAGAACATAGAAACCAGAGGTTAAGACGAATAGACTTTCATAACTTCGCGTACGTTTAATTAGTTCGCGTTTTGAAGCTAGTATCTAGAAGGCGCTCCTTTCTGTTTTTATGTTAAAAAAAGGTGGCAAACAAGCATATGGCCGGCCTGATGGTAAGCGGGTACCATACCTTTAGATGCTTGCGATACCAAAGCTATCACTCGCGCCGTTGCCTACCCTGACCCGATCCTCTATCTCCGTGGTCCGTGGATACCTGGAACCTTACTCACCGATAGAAACAACACCACCGTAATAGTGATCTTATTTTACTGTGGTCTTCTGTGAGGTGGAGGTTACTTCCTAAGACGGGAGCTCCAATACGAGCGGAAAATCCGCTATGCCCTATCTCACTTCTTCTGTTCTCTCTGCTTATCGCCTCCGATAGAAGGCGTGAACATGTGCGAGTATTTAAAATATGTACAAAGAATCACTCTTTAAAATTTACAATAGCAATATTTCATGATAACAGAATTGCTATTAAATAAAGGAGATTGCTCAGCTTCCATACATGTTTGGCCTAAAGACCAATAATCATGAAAAATTGTTTAGTAGATTTGAAATTATATATAAATTACTGTAGAAACGAATATTATTGACGGACGCCTCCTAGAACTTCTATAAACCATAAACACTGAACATATTAAAATAATAAAAAACAAATAAGTTATATAGTAAACTAGGGAAATCAAGCCAAGTACCGAAATTATAACTAGATTCAGGTATATAGAGCATGTAGATTAACAGATAGTTGCCTGTTTTTAAAGTTAATGCATAAGAGTAACTTTTAAAATCAGGTGTCATTTCCGGTTATAATAAGGTACTCTGTGACAGAAACTGTGAGATGATTGTGAATGAGCCACAGATTAGAGAGAATTTTTAAACTCGCGTTAACCAAAGAAAGCTAAGAGATTTAGGTTCTATAGCCATATATTCAGTAGCTTCATTACTTTTGATATGTTTTTAAGATAACCATATTTTAGATTGTAAGTGTATCACACCTTATAATTTTATTTATTTATTAATTTATAGTCAGGGAACGTAGGCCCTTAGATAGATACGTTAAAGTCTAACATATATCTAACAACATAAGTCTAACAGATTTTAATGTGTTTATGGAGGTGTTTGGCGAAAAATGTATTTCATTTCATTTCATTTATTTATTTATTAATATATATGTATGGCAATAGACTTTATGATGTCGCCTACCATCTATAATAATTGAGCACATTTGCATCTAGTGAAAATGATAATATAGTTGTGGATATTAATACCACAGTGTAATAAAAAAAAATGATTTATTTTATCGATCTTTACAAAATAGATTTGTTTTCATGTTATATAAACAACTTCGATCAGTCTTTGGCTGACTGTTACTACACCCATAGCCATTAAAAATGATTCGTATGTTTTCCAAACCAGTAAAATTAAAAGTCCTTTTTAAAGTAAATATATTATACAAAGTTGTCCGTTGAAATCTAATGGCTGTAAATTAAATTATAAATTACGCCAAGAATTACCGTGTATGTCAATATTTTTTGTGCATTTGGGCCAATTTGTGGAGATTGTAATAGATTTCGATTTATAAATAGGTAGTACCTGAATATACCATATGACTCCAAACAATTATTATGTAACCCCGAAGGGTAGGGCTGCCATCTCTAAAATGTGTCAACCAGGACAAGACGCGTGATAACCCCGGATTTTGGGGCTAAAAACCCGGACAGACAAATAAAAAAGCAGTTAAAATGTCACAAATCCACTTTTTTTTTATGTTGATGTAGGCAAAAGAGCTAGCTGTCCACATGATAATAAGTGGTCACTGCTGCCCATGGACACTTGCAGCACCAAGGGCCAATCATGCGTTGCCGGCTTTGAACGAAAAGGTTCATCCGCCTTTTTAAGATTACCATATCATAGCTATAAGAAAAATATACTGAGGGAAGTTCGTTTCAGATCTTGCTGGTACGCAAAAGATAGGAACACATTGTGCTCGAACGCCAGGCGTCCAGATGGTGGGTGTGAAACTTCTCTGCGGTGTGTGATGCTGTGAAGAAGCTTGGCCACTGGTATCCGGTTGAATAATTCCTCGGAACACTCTCCAGTGTATAGACGGTACAACAAGTACAAGGAGTTGCGTCCTTGTGCGTGTTGTACCGTCTGCGTAGTTAAGGGGTTGCATGCAATGCGTGAGTGAACTCAGGATCATCGATAAGTCAAACTGCCCGCTTTTGCATCCGGTCAAGCGGAAGGAGCTGGTATTGGGGTGCTCCAGCCTAGAGGACCAGTACTTTGTATAATAACACCCGATATTTAGGCTTGAGGTACTTAATATATCTATTGAGCACCCAAGCTTTTTCACACAAACATGTGTCTTTGCTGGGTTATTCCAATTAAATTTTGTTGGCTCCAATTTGAGACTTGATCCAGTAACATCTCAATCTCGGACACAAGTCTGTCTTTACACCCTTCTACTTTTATCCGAGGGATGTTTGACTGACCAGTGTAAAAAATATCGAATTCGAATAGCTGGCGAGTCCGAAATGTCATTGTCAAATTTTGTATGAAAACTTGATCAGCAGCACCATAACAGACGTAATGAGAACTAAGAATCAGTACACATTTGACAATGACATTTCGTACTCGCAAACGATACGAATTCGATATTGGTTCGTGCTAGGGGTACTGATCTTTGTAGGAAGTCAGCATTTACGGTTACAGTGTTAGAATAGACTTATTTATTTTCAAAGACATATTGACGGATCAGTTGGCGATCAAAAACAGAAAATTTATAAACCCGGACTACAAATGAAACCCCGCCCGGACGCTCCCCGGACGCCCTGTAAACTAGGACAAATCCGGGGAAACCCGGACGGATGGCAGCCCTACCGAAGGGTGAATTACCTAAATAAAAATGGAGGCCCTTTTACTGAGGCTCTATTGTCTATTGTTTTACTCATGATATTTGCTGCTAAGTATACATTGGTATGAAACCTTTGTGTGCAAATCTGATTTTTAAGGTTCTGCATCTAAAGGGTAATAACAGGACCCTATTAATAACACTCCACTGTTCATCTGTCATCAGGCTGTATTTCATGAATCATGATAGTGATAAATTTTCACAGATGATGTATTTCTGATGCCGCTTTAATAACAAACTAGCAAACCAGTGAACCAAATGTTCACAAAAAAAAAATGTTTTTAATTAATTGAGAACTTCGGAGATTTTGTGTGGTTTTGTTTGAAATAGAAATCACGTGATTTCTCGAAAACCGGAAGTGCTACGTTACTCACATCCGGTTTGTAGTCTTATTAGACTATTCTTAACTTATAACTTAAACATTCTCTATATCTATCTCTTACGGTTTGGCCGCTGAAACAGCACCACGGACGGACGGACGGACTTGTCTAATAGATAAGAGATAGTAAAATTAAGTATTCAAAGGGAGCTCCCATACAACAGACGTGAACTTTGCCGTTTTTTGCTTGATATTATAATATAGTGAGTAATGTTGCACAGAACCCTTTGTGTGCGAGTCCAACTCACACTTAGATGTTTTTTTAAATACTTTCTGACCAAATTTAAGCCTACCAGGAGCCATGCAATGAATTTGCTAATCTAAGATGACATTTAGGTTATTTGCAATAAAATTCCAAAACTCACCTCTACTTCTTCTAAGGTCTGGGTCCACCTGTAATTTTCAAGGTCACAGCCATTTCCAGAATTTGGTTTGAGTTTACCCTTTTCCTTAGGGTCCTCCTCTTCATCTGGATTTTCGGGTATTCCCTCTTCCTTATCTGTGCTCTTGCCACTGCCATCACCACTTCCATCTTCCGTTTCTGTCATATTAAGTCAATTGGTAATGTCATAAATAACTAACTAAAACCATGTTTACAGTTGATATACACATAATAACATCTATTTGATTATTTTGCATGTGAGTTCACAAACACAACCTAACCTAAACCTATGGTTACCTGGTTCTGGTTTCTTTGGCATTATTTCATGTTGTATAAATGTTTCACATCAAATTACTTTAATTGGTTGTATTTTTTTTAAATTAAGGAAAAACTATCATCTCTTATTGCCTTTTTTATTCAAACTTAATTAATTTTACCATACTAACCTCATACTATATGTATTGTGTCAAGAACATTACTTTAGCTGTAAAATCTTCAACAGCCAAGGATATTTAACCACATAAAGTCCAAAAGTCAATAACATATAGTCACTTAATTTAATTTAAATATGCTAACACCACGGCAAGCTACTTTATCTGCACAGTTACTTGTTCCCATCCATATCAAAAAATTATCCTTCATTTCACTCCCTTTATCTCTAGGCCAAAATAATTCAAAATTGAACAGCATAGGACAGTAACACTAGTTAATATAATAATACAACTTAAGTTTCCTTACATAAAGAGAAATGAAATCAAAATGACTTTATCCAATATAAGCCTTTATAGGCACTTATTGAATTCATGTGTACATTTTAAATAGACGAAAATTCAAAATGATGTGCCTTCATCATGAAAATAATATTAAACCAAAAACATAAAACCTATATAAAATTAAATAATAATTATAATTAGTCAATAGGCAGCACAGAGCAAACCTAATCCCAAGTAAATTAATCTGCAATATAGTCCTCAACATTAAATATAAAGTTGCCATTAAAACAAAAGTATTAATTAATAAAGCCTATTAAGGTTTACTTTACTAATCAATACTTTTTAATGTAGTTTCTACATTTGGCGTCTGTTACTGCAACAAAATTGTCAGGTAATTTGTTAGGTAATAACCTAAAATGAAACTACACAATAGTGTAGTTTCATTTTGTAGATTAATCTCACAGCATGTAGAGGTAATTATATCTTATGATTTTATTTATTTTTTAAGCATTTAACTGCTGGATGTTTCAATCTAAAGAAAAGTTTACTAGAAAAAAATCCACGCGGACCAGGCAGCGGACGGGACTCGAACCCGCATCCTTCGCTATCCGGGCGAATGCACTGACCATTATGCTACCACGGCCCTATTAGCCGCGTTGAAATTTTCCTAGCCTTAAGCTGCAAGGCAGCGCCATCTCTTCGCATTGTAGGTAACCCACAATGTCAAATGAATACTTTTTCAAGTATTAAACATTTGAAAGAAGAAATAGCAATTATAGTTATGATTTTATTTATTTTTTAAGCATTTAACTTTCTATTATAGCATTTTTTTCTAGTAAACTTTTCTTTAGATTGAAACATCCAGCAGTTAAATGCTTAAAAAATAAATAAAATCATAACTATAATTGCTGTTTCTTCTTTCAAATGTTTAATACTTGAAAAAGTATTCATTTGACATTGTGGGTTACCTACAATGCGAAGAGATGGCGCTGCCTTGCAGCTTAAGGCTAGGAAAATTTCAACGCGGCTAATAGGGCCGTGGTAGCATAATGGTTAGTGCATTCGCCCGGATAGCGAAAGATGCGGGTTCGAGTCCCGTCCGCTGCCTGGTCCGCGTGGATTTTTTTCTAGTAAACTTTTCTTTAGATTGAAACATCCAGCAGTTAAATGCTTAAAAAATAAATAAAATCATAACTATAATTGCTATTTCTTCTTTCAAATGTTTAATACTTGAAAAAGTATTCATTTGACATTGTGGGTTACCTACAATGCGAAGAGATGGCGCTGCCTTGCAGCTTAAGGCTAGGAAAATTTCAACGCGGCTAATAGGGCCGTGGTAGCATAATGGTCAGTGCATTCACCCGGATAGCGAAAGATGCGGGTTCGAGTCCCGTCCGCTGCCTGGTCCGCGTGGATTTTTTTCTAGTAAACTTTTCTTTAGATTGAAACATCCAGCAGTTAAATGCTTAAAAAATAAATAAAATCATAACTATAATTGCTATTTCTTCTTTCAAATGTTTAATACTTGAAAAAGTATTCATTTGACATTGTGGGTTACCTACAATGCGAAGAGATGGCGCTGCCTTGCAGCTTAAGGCTAGGAAAATTTCAACGCGGCTAATAGGGCCGTGGTAGCATAATGGTCAGTGTATTCGCCCGGATAGCGAAGGATGCGGGTTCGAGTCCCGTCCGCTGCCTGGTCCGCGTGGATTTTTTTCTAGTAAACTTTTCTTTAGATTGAAACATCCAGCAGTTAAATGCTTAAAAAATAAATAAAATCATAACTATAATTGCTATTTCTTCTTTCAAATGTTTAATACTTGAAAAAGTATTCATTTGACATTGTGGGTTACCTACAATGCGAAGAGATGGCGCTGCCTTGCAGCTTAAGGCTAGGAAAATTTCAACGCGGATAATAGGGCCGTGGTAGCATAACGGTCAGTGCATTCGCCCGGATAGCGAAGGATGCGGGTTCGAGTCCCGTCCGCTGCCTGGTCCGCGTAGATTTTTTTCTAGTAAACTTTTAATTATATCTTGTTGATTTCCACCGCATACCTCTACTACATAATACTATGAAAGTAAGCAAAGTAAACTTGTCTTGCTGTGGATTGTTCTGCCACTTTTAGTTAATGTTTTAGAAAGAAAGTATTCATGATAAATATAAATCAAACTCACTTTTCTTCTTGCTCTTATCAATTTCTTCTTGCATTTTGTCTGCTTCTTGGTCAGTGAGCTCCACAACTGATGCAGGTTCAAAATCTTGGGCAAGCCTCTCTTGTTCTTTCCGCTGTTGAATTTCTTTTAGTCTTTTTTCTGCTTCTTCTTTTTCTTTTTTTATCTTATTTGCTTCTTCTTTAGCCTTCCTTGCATACTCATAAAATGTATCTTGTATAACCTGATAATACAAAATATCAAAGAGTAGAACATCTCTATAATTGCCTAAATTGTACTTGTATCAAAGAATCTGAAAAATACTATTTAAAAGATCATCATAAAATTCAAACACACACACAACAGAATTTTTACTTTAATTTTTTTTTTTGCTTTATTATGGTCTGAGTAAGAGTTCTTTATCTCATATTAATTCAAAAAAGGATTGCAAAACATGTCAGCCTATGTCATTATTCCAGCCCATGTGAAAATGGATTGTGAGGGCTGTGTCCCTTATGGACAAAAATTAAAGGCAGGAACCTCTTGATTAACGAATCAGGCACACTAGGGAAAATCATTGTAATGGTAGTTAATCCAGTACTTTTTGACCTTATAATAACTTACAAATTCAAGTGTGAATGTGAAATATTGGCCATAGCTTGTATCAGAAACCATAATTGTTGACAGTAAAATATTCATTCAGAATTGGGCAGCATAAAACAGTAACTAAAATTAATAAAATAATACAACTTAAGTTTGCTTACATCAAGAAAAATCCTTGATAGGCACTTATTGAAGTCACGTGTACATTTAATATGGACAAAATTCAAAATTGTTGATACCGAATAGAGGGAAGTTATTTTTATTTTTCTTATCATAATGTTATGTTCGTAGTGCGCACTAACCCCACGAGCCTTGTCTGTCAGTCTTACTAGATTATTATGTCTTCTATATAAGGGTATAATTGTTGCTTTTGTCCCAGTTAGAAAATTGAGTTTTTTATTTTTGAGTTACAATCTTAGTTAGAATATTTTTTGACTTGAAACCTTTGTTATCGATTAATAATTATATTTTGTTAGAATAATGGGATAGTAATGACAAATAAAATTTATAATATTCAATGATATGCAGCGCGGTGACCAGGTGCATGAGTACAGCTCCAACTGCAGCACTGGAAGTTATTTTAAACATCACACCACTCCATATCTACATAAAGACAGGAAGCGGCTAAAGCAGCATTGAGACTACAAAAGTTTGGACTGGTAAGGTTTGAAAGAGCAAGGCATCTCAACGGTATACTGAAGGAATGGGTAAACACTCCGCTCATAGATGCAGCATGCGACAAAATAATACCCGCCTTCATATTTGACAAAAAATACAGAATACATCTACTGGATGACAGCGATCCAAAGGTAACACACAAGGCTCTCATGATCTACACCGACGGCTCAAAAACCTCATCGGGCGCGGGTGTTTTCTCTGAGGACCTTAATATACACATCGCTTTCCCCTTAAGCCCATGCAACACAGTTTTCCAAGCTGAGTGTATGGGCATCACACTGGCGGCAAGAGCGATCCTCTCAAGGAAGGTAACAGGACAGGAAATACGAATACTATCTGACAGCAAATCAGTCCTACAAGCTCTAGATGCCTGTTTAGTCAGATCGAGCTTACTACAAGAATGCCAGCAAACCTTAAACACGGTAGGGACGAGCAACTCTATATCCATCCAATGGATCAAGGGACACAGCGGATCACGCGGAAACGACGCTGCGGATGAGCTGGCCCGGAAGGGATCCGATACGACCCCAACAGGCTCCGAACCAATCGTTCCGATACCGGTAAGCTGTCTCGTCAATAAAATTCGCGAGCACACTGCCGCACTACACCAGCAACACTGGCTCGAACTGGAGACGTGCAGGCAGACCAAGCTCGCTTTGCCACGGGTGAACGCTGCCTTCTCCAAAACTCTCCTACAGCTAAGCAAACCTACATTGCGCATGGTAACAGGTACTATTACTGGACATGCACATTTTAACAGACATCTTTTCAACATAGGTGTCACGGACAGCCCCCTATGCAGAGGATGCATGTAGGCAGAAGAAACAGCTACTCACATTCTGCTGGAATGCAACGGAGTGGCTGAATACCGAGCGAAATACCTCGGCTCACCGGGAAACCTTCAAGAGGCAGTCACCAACGTGAAGGCCCTGGGGGCCTTCCTGGAGCAGCTGGGCTGGCTGGAGTGATTCCGGCCATACACCCTCCTCACGCAAAACAGGCGCCATAAGGACGTCGAGTTGCGGAAACGCCCGTAGCAACAAGAAGAAGAAGAAGAACATTCAATGTGAATTGTGGTCTTTTAACTTAGACGTTTTGAATACAAGAATCAGTTTTTCTTCTGGCTATGGAGGATATGAAATATTAGCCATAGCTTGTATGCGAAACCATAATTGTTAACAGTTGTCATGCTGATTTAAATAGGTAAAAAATAAAGACTTGAAAATTATAGTGAAATGCCAACTGATTTTTTTTCTCAAGTGATTGTTTATAATGCAATTATATACATGATAAACAAAAAAATATTGAGTATATTCTATTCTGTAAAGGTTTTTAAATAGCGAAATTTAACATACTAAGGAATGTATTCTTTGTAGAGGAATATTAAAGATTGGTACACATAATTATGTATCATTTAAGCATATTACTTACTTTCTCCCATTCTCCTTCTTTGCCACCAATGAAGAAGTCAGTTTTCCTTGCAAGGAAACTCACAATTGTTTTTAGTAACTGTAAAACCAAAATACTTGCTATCAAGAAAATAATTTTAAATTTAAGTAATACAATTATGTAAGGATTATGTGAATTTTTGTAAGAACCTAGGAACAATAAGAACAAAGCAAACCTGGGTGATTAACAACGTAAATGATGTTAAAGGATTTATGAAACAAGTAAACTTACGTCTTTAACACCGCCTTCATGCTGTTGTGCCATAGCAAGCAGCATTGAATCAAACCTTTCAGGGTCATTAGCCATTATTATAATAACAGTGACAATTCAGTTAAATTTAATTTTATGTAAAATCACAAATACGAAGTCAATGTGCGGTTTCCAATCAACGAAATTCGAAAACAAAATTTTCTAGCAATTTTTGACATCTGTCACAATTGACTGCGTTCAGTAACCTTTTGTTTTCGCACATGGACGTATGTTAACAAGACAGAGTACTTTTACCGATAAAACGGGACGATAGGGAGATAGAGAACAAAGGCCTTTTTGACCCTTTTTAATTGGAAGGCAATGATATTAAATACCCTAGATACAACAACACGGACAAAATCGTCCAAAAGGTACATTGTACAATCCACGGAGCTCCGTAAGATGATCGCGGGGTCAAAAACCATTTAAGGAATTATTTAAACATTGAAAGTCACCTTTAATGCATACTGTATAAGTTCTTAATTAGAATGCATCCGTCAAAGACTTCTGACAGTTCCAAATACAAGCTCCTAGAATTTCACGACTTATTGCTATTTGCGGAAGAATATACACCTTATTCTTTTGACTCTACGCGCAATTCTGAATGCGCTGTTAGCAATATAGCAGGTACGGACCGCGAGGAAAAGAGACGGCTAGTCGGCGACTTATAACTAGGGTTGATAATATCGAGACCAAAATATCGATATTTATGTCGATATCGATATTTATATCGATATTTAAAATTCACTGATGTCGATAATATCGATATCAGAAATTCCAAAATATCGATATTTCGTAGACTTAATTTGAACACAATAATATCAATTAATTTACCTGCTATGACTATCCAAATTGAATAATATGGTAATAACCATTGCTTTGAAGTCGCAAGAGCTTAAAGATGTATTAAAAAAATCTTGAACCCCAAGAAATATACTGAACTGATGTGGATTCTGGTATGATTATCTAAACCTAAAATTAAATTTAACAACAGTGGTGTCAATTCTGGCGTGATTCTCTAAACTTAAAACTAAATTTAAGGTCAGTCTCACCTTTTCATTCTGTATAGAGTAGGACAAGGATGCACTGTTGTCAAATTTAAGTTTAGCTTTAGAGAATCATGCCAGAATCGACATCAATGTATCCTTGTCATTCTCTATACAGAATGAAAAGGAGAGACTGATGTTAAATTTAGTTTTAAGTTTAGATAATCATACCAGAATTGACACCAACGTATATAGGTATAATCGTATACCTAATGGTAACTCATGCACTTAAATAAAATCCTTGCCTCTCTTTCTAGATAATTGTCAACTACTGATTAATTGAAATTTAATATCATTATAATATAACACAAAATAAAATTAAGAATCTTATACAAATCGTAATTTTTTTAAGCTCGCCAAGTCAAGAAAGTAAGATAGGTATAGTAATTTTGGAAGCTTTGGGCTTACCCTATTCTGAAGCCATGGGCACGCCCCTGATGTTTTAACATTTTAAACAAAATAAATATCTTTGATTCGAAATTGCTTTTGATTTGATACTTCTTACAGCGCTATAAAAATATAGAAAATATCTATAAACATCGTATTGGAAATGTTGGAATGACTGATATGTCGGATCGGATATCGATATTTACCTGCCCACATTATAAATATCGATATTTCGGAAACCTTTGCTTCCTTAATTTTAGGTTTTTGCTTTGCAAACTTAATACAAAGCAAAAAAGAAATAATATCGATATATCGATAATATCGAGTTAAAATGGTCGATATATCGGATATCGATATTTTCCTGACTTCGATATAAATATCGATATTTCAAAAGACTTTGCATCCCTACTTATAACCGACCATGCATTTCAACATCACAAACATTTTATATTAAATCTCTAATATTATTAATATTTTAGTAAGTAGTAAAATAAAATTTATTTCAAATGCAATTTATTAACAAACATTGATAAGATACCTGTCGAAACGTTTCGTACTATAAATATTTTTTCCGCATTTTTCACGGAGGTCTGTGGCATCTTAACTTTGTAACGGACCGCACGTGACTGTGAACCAAGAAGTGCTTATGAGGGGTTCAAGCGCTTCTTGATTGGGACTTATTTTGAGCAGCCGTGGTGTGTCGAGGGTATTTAATATCTTTGAGCACTAATCCATTATATACAAATACGAATCATTTGTAATTAACTCGCTTATTACATTAATAATAAACAACAAAAGGTTAAATTTTAAATAAATCACTATACAATAAGAAAAACTGAGGAGAACATCAACCAGTTAGTATAAAGTGACGAGAGCGACCGCGCTTCCCTCGCTAGTTGTAAGTGAGGGTGACAGAGGGGGAATCATGCGGCCGCTAGGTCTTATTATTATGGTCATGCGCGTGCTCACCACTGTGTTTGTCGTCGCAGGCAGGACCGGTTGAAGGAAACAAAAGATAGTGATGAGGCAAGCGGTAACTTCCGTATCTATCGATATATTAATGTCAGATAATTGGGTGATACAAATATTCGAAATTAATGGATTATAATTTAGTTTATTTTTATTTAAAAAAGACTTTGTTAATTTTAAAATGAATAGAAAAAGAAGAGGATATGTGTGTGGCGGCATGTATAATATTTGTATTTATTTATGTATTAACATACAATATTTGTTTTTTAGGTTTTCACGCACATCACTCATTAAATAAAACTAGTTTTTACGGGTTAATGCACGAAACTTTATTTATTTATTGACGTTTCGCAGCCTTTTCAGGTCTGCATCGTCAGAATAATGATTTTATTTAAAATTGTCGAGCTACCTTCGAAAGAATTATATTGTGCGTTCGGTTATTTCATTGGAAGATTTTTAGAATTTTATTGTCTATGTATGATTTTATTATTTAATTTACTTAATAAAGTATTTTATTTAATATTCTTGTTTGTAATTTTGAGTTTATTTATTTGACCCTAACTACCGTAAACTACCACCGGTTCCAAAATTGGGAGACCTTCCTGAGAAGAACCGGCGAAACAAACTCAAGAGAGGCTTTCTATCTCCTTCTTATGTTAAATTATGCAAACAAAAAAGAACTAATAGTATCTGATGGTCTTGCAGTGTGTGCTCGGGGTTGGGATTTTATCTCCTGTATAATAGGTTCCCAAGCTGGTGGTATATAAAAAAAAAAAAAAAAAAAAAAAAACAAATTTCAATAGGGAAGATGGTTGGTATATACCACCAGCTTGGGAACCTATTATACAGGAGATAAAATCCCAACCCCGAGCACACACTGCAAGACCATCAGATACTATTAGTTCTTTTTGTTTGCATAATTTAACATAAGAAGGAGATAGAAAGCCTCTCTTGAGTTTGTTTCGCCGGTTCTTCTCAGGAAGGTCTCCCAATTTTGGAACCGGTGGTAGTTTACGGTAGTTAGGGTCAAATAAATAAACTCAAAATTACAAACAAGAATATTAAATAAAATACTTTATTAAGTAAATTAAATAATAAATTCATACATAGACAATAAAATTCTAAAAATCTTCCAATGAAATAACCGAACGCACAATATAATTCTTTCGAAGGTAGCTCGACAATTTTAAATAAAATCATTATTCTGACGATGCAGACCTGAAAAGGCTGCGAAACGTCAATAAATAAATAAAGTTTCGTGCATTAACCCGTAAAAACTAGTTTTATTTATTTATTAACATACAACATTATTTATTACATTATAACTTACATGACTAATACAAACTTATTAATAACTTACATCTAAATATTTACACTAGCATATTATATAATTATATGTATATACAATATTTTATATACTATGGCTATGGATGGATGGAATAGGTGAGTTTTTCAACTCTACAACTTTCAAAAAACAGGTTATCATGTATAATTTTATAAAAGAAAAAAAATGTTCTTTTAATTAGAAAAAATTCGACCGGGTAGTTGTAACTAGCAACAGTTTATTTGTCTGCTCTCAAGTTATTTAATAATTTTGACTGTAAATAACGTGAATTATTGAGTGAAAAATGGTTCAAAAGAAGCATTAAGTGCTAATATTTTATACGTGAAATTTATTCTACTAAAAACGAAATTATAAATTCCTAAAACAAACAAGTTTGTGGTGTGTAATCTCCGAATACGTCGTTTTGAAGAATACGCGTAAGTGACGCGGTCCCCACGGCGCTTAAGACCTTTTCGTCGCCACCGCATGCAACTACTATCAGTGCTCGAGGACGTTTCTAACTGATTGTTTGATAAAGTTTACTTTACCTACAACTTGCAATACCATCTGTTTTTTATAAATAAACAATGCCTAATAAGAATAATGTTTGTGCTGCCTGCCCAAATACTTTGAAGAATATCGGATTTCTGCGTTGTTGTCGTTGTGAAGAGCAATATCATTACACATGTATGAATTTTACAGCAGATGATTTTAGAGGCTTTTCTTCTGAGTTTAAGTTTTCGTGGATTTGCCCCGCATGCAGATGTAAAGAACCGAAAAGCGGTAATAATTGTAATACACCGGTCCGTCCGGCATCACAGACACAGCCATTGAGTTCAACTGTCTCTCACTACGACAATGTTACTTTGCGTACTAAACAGAAGGTATCCGTTTCCGGGACTACTGCTCCGATTCGGGGTTCCCCTTGCTCATGTCTCACAGCGTCAGATATTAGAACTATTATAAGGGAGGAGTTATGTCACATAAAAACCGAAATAAATGCTGACCTACAGAAAATTGAGAAAAGCATGACTTCATTTGAGGCAAGTTTGTCTTTTTATAATGAGGAATTCGAGAAAATAAAGGCTATCACATCTGCCCAAAACAACACCATTGAAACACTCCGTAAAGAAAACGAATTTCTACGCAATACGACACAAGAATTGTCCGCTAGGGTACGTCAGCTTGATCAACAAACTCGCGCGGCTAACTTAGAGATTCAATGCGTGCCTGAGCACAAGCAGGAAAATTTGGTGAATGTGGTAATGCAATTGGGAAAAGTTATAAAATGTCCAATAACCGATACCGATATCTACTATTGCTCTAGAGTGGCAAAGATGAATACAAACAATACACGACCGAGGTCCATATTGGTAAAATTCAGGAGTCCACGCTTGAGGGAATCATTTTTGGCTGCAACATCAACATTTAATAAGAATAACCC